AAATCTTTATTGAACAAGTCAGGATACAATTCTCAGGAAACAGAAAAGGCGCTAATCCAATCACTGAATGCGCACAGCCAGTCTCGACGTAAGGCCTTCTCGCTAGCCCTAGTATGCAGAGAGAACAAGTCAGGATACAGGATAAATAAATAAGAGCTGGCTATTGAAACCTGACTGTGCCCGTTCACTTACAGCGCACAGGGGCCTGCTCTGTTTAATCTGAAGGCCCCGAGCAAATGTAATTTACCTGGCAATACAGCTAGCTGAAATATGATTGGTTAAAAACTCTACCATAATAAATAACTTATTTATCGAGTGGCTTTCAATGTTATTTAAAATAACATTGAAAGCCACTCAACTAAGTGCAAATAATACAACGTAAAGAATACAGAGAATAATTTTGTTTACATATTTATGAAAATAAAATAACATAAATTATAAAATAACATAAAATACATAAAAGTAAATTTACTTTTCTGAGAATGTTTAGGCCAGCAGAGAAGGCCTTGCTGGCCCTCAGGGTCCGCCACTGTATGTTAGCAATAGGCTAACGGACTTATGCTATGCTAATGATACTGGTAGTCCAAATAGTAGTTGAAAATAGTTTGAATGACAATTTCTAAACGATTAACCCGCTTGAAGCAAGAGCCTTTTTTTAAAACCCCTTTAAAAATTAAAATGATAATCAATAAACATGGATTTTAAGGGCCTGGGGTTTAAAAAAAAGAAAAGATGTAAATCAGGTGCATTCATGTTTAAGCTGCAGGTGTAACAGCTGAGGAAAAAAGTAGTCGATTAATTTGCCAATCAGCATGTATTGAAATCAGCATGGCAGTTACGTAAACAGTTCAACGCTTCAATTCCGGGTAAGCCGCTACTGATCATGGTTGTAAAAAAACAAAACAACACACATTTGAAGGTTTCTTTAAATATATTGCCACATCTTGACCCTTTGAGAAAAAAAATGTCAAATGAAATTGTTCTGTTGATTCGTGATGCAGGCAGCGATGGAAGCGTCTATGACCTTTACATCAATTTGACAACAACTCCTGCCTGATAATCAGTCACTGGGCACACTGAGTGTAATTGCCAGAAAATGTCTAACAGTGAAATAAGCTTTAACATGCTCAAAAATGTTCATAGTCTTTATTAAAGCAAGGCTGGTCTTTGTGTACAAGCTTTCCTCTTAGATAACCTTTAAACTTTATGATGATGCTTTATGAAATCATATAAGGGAAACAACAAAGGACAAACTCCTCTAATTTTGTGGTTTGTGGTGCATATTGATCAGCTTGATCACAGTTAAAAGTTTCTTTGCTGCTGTGAATTGGGAATTTCTCCATTGCGAGACTAATAAAGGTTTTCTTATCTTATTTACCCCAACAGGAAGATCTGGACATGGACGCAGGAGATATGGGTAAGCTGGAGCCTTAATTCTTTTGTTAGAATCACCATTTACAGTGCACATCAAAAAATAAGAGATCATCTTCAAGACATGTTCAAATGGATGTGTTCATTTCAAACATCATGACATGTTTTAACAGCCACACAATGTTGACAAGCGCAGGCTAACAACCGTCTGACCACTCCTTCAAATGGGTGATGTTAAGATTTAAAAGTATGTTGGATTACTGTTATTGTAACAGTTGAAAGTAAAATGTAGAGACGACAAGACAAAGACATCACGTGTGGAGCAACACGCACATGTGACATGCGCCTCAAAATGTTCTCCTGAATTGCTCAAGCACAGATCAAACTCCATTGACCCCTAAAACAATCCAGGGGTAAAATTGAAAAATGTCTTCTGTCATGTTTTTAACTCGTTCCCTGGCAAGCCAACCCTCCCAATTGCAATGCGGATATTTGGCATCTGGAGGCGTCGGTGGCAGTGAATTAGAAATGTAATCTTGTGAATTTGGATTTGTTTCAAATCTGAAACATTTGAAGGTATGTGAAATACATGGAGCAACATCACTCTGTGTATCTGGGATGCCGTTTATTCTGGTTGCAAGTTATTAAGCCTCTTTTTATGGTTATGATTAGTTTTATGAACATAAAATTGTTTCAATTATCTTTTAGGGAAGTATTTTATTTCGGAAAATGTTTTTTTTCCCCATTTTTATTTTGTTCATTTTCACTCATTATGATCATCTTGGTCTGTCCACCCTGTCAAATTGGGTAACTGCCCCTTTAAGAAATCTCCCGATGTTTTCAGTGGCCTAATTACCAAAATGTCGTCTTCCTTGCGAGGAGACGGAAACATTAGCTATTACAGATTAGATGTTTACAGTTGTGTGTGGTTATTTTTTATCATTTTAGGTGTGTAGTTTTGCTCTGTCATAGTGAAATATCAATTGAAATACTGTAAAAAACTTTCTGAAATCAAAAGACCTTTCTGAAATCAAAAGACCTTTCTGAAATTCAACATTTTTTTTGTTTCGGCACAGTCAGCTTGCTAACTGAATGTTGCGAAGGTCTACCATGTGCTCATAAAAAGTCAAAATTAGCCAAAAATGTCCACTGTTGCCAAGCTGACATTTAGGTGTTTGTACTGTATATACATTAACAACTTACAGTTCATTTATTTTATTTTTTAATGGCCAGGAGATTGTCCAACATGCATATCTTAACAGCATCCACTTAATACAATGAATATGAATTCATTTGCTGTGCATGTTTTTTTTTTTTTAATAGAGAAATGTGTTGTTGGGAACACTGACACGTTGTTGGCAAAAGAGCCTTTAATTGTAATCGGGCAACGTTGCTGCTTCACTGTCACGGAACATGTGTTTTGCTAAGTAACCGCAGCACTTTTTTTTCTCCACTCTTATATGAAATGCTTTAAAAGAGATGGAAATTAATCACTCTCATGTCTTCAGGGACAGTAGAAGATCACGCCATGAAGGCGATCCAGACATTGCGGGACGAAGACGCCTCTGTTCTAATGAACGGCGAAGGGGACTTGAAATCGGGCCTTAAACAAAATTGCGAAGACGCTTCGGAGAAGCCCGTCATCACAAACGGACCAAGTGGAAGCATCCTGGTCGAGAATCATGGCCAGCACGATGCTCCTCGAAGCTGCATGGAGATGGAGGAAGGGATCGTGGCCATGCGGGCCGAACGCGTCGTCATCTCGGATGATGAAGAAGTTGCGCTACAAGAGCATCAGGAGGAAGGAGTGACTGTGGAGGAGGTGCAAGTAGCTCCAGAAGCCTTGAAAGAGTTGGCAAAGGATGAATCAAGTGTGGCGATACGAGCAGGGAGTACGCACGAAGAGACAAAAGACGAGGACACCGAAGCGGAAACTTCAGCCTCCGTGCTGCTGCAGTCCAGGGCCGATCCTCTGGAGGCCGAGACGAAAGACGAGGACACCAAAGCGGAAGCTTCAGCGCCCCCGCTGCCTCAGTCACCCGCCGATCCTCTGGAGGCCCAGACAAAAGACGAGGACACCAAAACGGAAGCTTCACCGCCTGTGCTGCCCCAGTCACCAGCCGGTCCCCTCGAGGCCATTCAGGTGACTCCCGTGCCGGTCTACTCGGAACCATGCTGTCCTCCTCCGGAGGAAGCACCGCAAGCCCAGGAGGAAGTCAAAGCCATGACACCAGCATCAGAGGTGCTCGACATGTCCACAAAAGCCCAAGGCGACGCCCTCATCCCGCCCCCTCAGTTCCAGGAAGTTTCCCTCAGCGACCCCACGGAGAACCACAGGACTGAGGCGCGACCCGCCGAGCAAGAGCCCCTCCTGGAGGAGGCCAAAGCCCCTGAAGTGCAAGATGACATCGCCACCGATAACCAGTCGGCTTCCACAGAGATGCAAGCGGAGGCCATGCCGGTGCCCAAGAAGAAAACGTGCCAGTGCTGCTCAGTCATGTGAATGCAACAAAAATACTAACACAACGCTTTTGAGTTTGCTCTCATCAAGTAAGTATTAACGCTTCCTTAACGTTTTTTTTTTTTTTTTTAAATAAAATTCCACTGATCACAATAGCCCTGAAGTCCACTCAAAAAGGTGCACTTTGGGTTTTACACTCATCCCCATGATGAAATTTGTGTTGCACTAACTTCAGTAGGTCACTGATCCTTTAAAAAGGATTCAGGTGAAATTTTAGTGTATATGTTTTTGTAGCATAAACTATGCAATATTTTAAACAGGCCATACCGTAATATCCTATGGCACCGTAGTGGTCGGTAATTGCCACTGCTTTAAAGTTTCGTCGGGTTCCAGTAAGGTCCCCATAGAAATGTATTAAACCTTGAAGAAATCAAGATGTCAATTTTTAGCAAATTTAAATCAGCCACTCCACTCTTTCTGTCGCCAGTGTAGGCGATTATAACCATTACTAATGACATTCTAAAATGACTTTTGGTCTCATTTGAGGCTCTGATGCACCTTCAGTTTGAGTTATGTCAAAACTTGATTACTGGAGTGTGAAATTTGTGAAGCAACTGCATTTCATGCTAAATGGGAGCAAAAAAAAAAAGTGTTATTATTTTTGTTCTCTGTATTGTCCGCACCCTTTATTTTTTTTTAATCACACGATATGGTCCACAATGGAGGTGTTGATGTTTTGTTTTGTTTTTAACCACCTTCTCTGTTCTGGACGATGTCTGGATGTATATCCTGAAACAAACTCCACCCAAATCATTTTAATGCAGTGCGATGGAAAAGACCATCACAAATGAATTATTTGTAATATTTAATTGATTTGAATGTAAATACAAAAGTTTTGTGTTGATTTGAGAGGTTCATAGAGAATATTTTTCTAATGAAGGGGCTTTATAGCAGAATTATTGAAGAGATTTGGGGATTGCTTGGTGGCTTTTTAGTCTTTTTTTTTTTTTATTAGCAAGGTCCCACATAGTTGAGTTGTGTAATAAAAGTTACATATATTCATTCATCCCAATTATGAAAATCTATTCCTGTGGATCGCTCTCATTTAACACATTTTTACTGAAGTATGAATTTTTTGTATTTAACCAGATCACCGTACGTGTGCGACATCATGCATTTATAGCACATGCGGAAACCATGTTGGGATTTGTATCATTGTCAAGTTTTTGAAATGTCTTCATTAATTATTAAACGGACACATGAGTCATTGTGTAAGCTTTGTGGGGTGGGATTGAGCAAAAGGTTTTTTCCCCACCTTTTGGACTTTTTCCAGATTGAACCAATTGTTGTTCGAACGTGCTTCCACGATCCATATCCACGCCGTCCAATGCAAAGCCGCTATCTCCGGACGTCACCTGATAAGCAGGATTTAAACCCACCACGTGTCGTCCTGTGAACAGACTTTGCACAAAATGGTTACGTAAGCCACTTGATTTTTGCACTTTTTTTGCGATGATGAAAGTAGTTTTCAATGAATGGCCCACAAAAGTTACTGAAGCGCAGGGGTTTTATTCTTTTGTTTGACATTTTTGGAAATCTTATAATTTTCTCAAAAATCCACAGTTCACCTCAGAATTTTGGTTGTGCTTTCTGACCGTGAACCGATTTTATGTGGTACACGGTGACCAGAAATCTGGCATAAAATGTATGTAATAAATCGACACTTGTTGGCAATTAAAGAGCAAAGACAGGATGCCGGCTGCTTAGTTTGTCATCTGGCTGGCAACCGGTTCAGGATGTCCTTCGCCTTTTGCCCGAAGACAGCTGGGATAGGCTCCAGCATGCCCTGCGATTCTTGTGAGGATAAAGGGGATCAGAAAATGGATGGATGGGTGTATTTCCCATAGTTTGCAATCCAAGAATACCGACATTCTGCGCATCCGTTTCAGATGACGTCTTGGAGGAATGTGCCGATTTGAATAATGAGTTGCACACCTGCTAACGTGCCATTTAGTGGAACGACATGCACCCTTTATTTTCTCCATAAGTAGCAAGGGATCTTTCATATTTTGTCACTTTTGTGACTGCTTTGTTTGTCGCCATTGTTTGAGTTCTGTGAATCATTCGGTGAGTGGGACTTTGTCTGCGTTTTGTTTGAATTGTGGAACTGGGTGCATGTATAAAAGCTACCTTCGGCTACGACCACCCGCACATCACGAGTGTGACAGACACCCGTTTCCGCATCCCAAAGGCTCAACATCCTCGCTCCTTCGCAATGATTCTTTTGGCGTGCGCGGTCGTTGTGGCCTGCTTGCTGTCTGGCACCACTTGCGCCCCTCTGGCCTGCGAAAATTTGATTCGTCCTCTGGTGGACATCCCTCTTGACCACCTGGAGGGAACATGGGCCTTGGTTGGCAGCAGTTTGAACCGATCGCTGGATGAAGACGCCCTCAAGACCAGAGACAGTGTCACTTTCGTCTCGACCAACTCCACCTTCGTCCAGCGTAACCGCATTGGAGACAAGTGCCAGTCGTCTACGCTCAACGTCACCAAGCAAGGCCACGTCATGACTCTGACAGGGGCCAACTATGTTTTCACCGCTACCTTTCACCATACTTCCTGCGAGACCTGTCTTCTGTTCCGCTTCGATGTGCAGTCGGCAAGCCACAACACCACCGACCTCTACATCGTGAGCACAAAGCGAGAGCTGGACGCCGGCGTGAAGGAGGAGTTCGCGGCTCAGGCCAAGTGTCTGGGTTTACCGGAACCCATCTGGATGGATCCCACCAAGGAGCTTTGTCAGTCCTGATTGATCCAATAAACCTGTTGATGCACACTTTGCTTTTGTGTTCCTGCAAACTTTTAAATGAGGTCTTAGAAATGCAATTTTGAAAAAGTAAAAATTTTGTTCGTTTTTTGTATCTTAAAAACTCATAGCCAGGATAGTATGTTTGTTGTGCTCTGCTCGTGAGTATTTAACCCAAAAAAGTGCAAAATTTACGTCACCTCTCGACATTGTCACTCCCCCTCTATGGAAATTCTGGTAAGAGGTGCAAGCATATAAACAGGAGCGCGAACCTACGAACGTCATAAAACGATTTGTGACCCACGCACAAGCTGAGGCGCGCATGCGTACAAGGTTGGCCATCCTGGCTCTCACTTCCGCAAATGACTAAACGCAACGCCTCCGCAATCAGCGGTGCAACTTCGGAAACAGATTCTATGGAATGTGACGAGCTGGTCTCGCGGTTAATTTTCATTACTGTAAAAATGAAGCTCAATTCAAATAATGCACTAAAGAAATTGGAATTAGGACGAGCTAACTTTCTCCATACTACCATAGCGAGAGAAACACTTTTTTAGACAATTTTTTAATCAAAATCCAGCATAAAACAACAAAATACTTCTCAATGACGCATGAACAAATAAATCGTGCAAACAAGCAACATGGCTAGACATAAGAACCTCCGCCCCCCCCCCCAAAAAAAAAACAATGAAATAAGAGGAAGCATCTAACCAGAAAACAAAACCGCTTTACCATCCTAAATATTAAGGCGGGTTTTGTTTTCCCCACTTTCAATATTCTGAAAGTCACACCTTCGTTTATAGAAATAAAAAATTAATGGATGACATTTCACAATTTATGACCTGAAGTGATCAAAGTATTTGTACATTAATTTGCCGTTTCTTCTCCGGCTGCATTGTCTCATATGTAATGTCTTCATCTTGCATTGTGGGTTAATCACAGTCCTTTTGAGCTATTCAACGTTGAAATGCCTTCCAAAATATTTGGGTGTATGCATGATGAAAATTGACATGGTTTAAAGTCTGCACTTCATTACCAGTTTGCTCTAACTGTTGTCTCAGGAAATCACGACAAGCACAACATATTTAACGTTGAGAACGTTTCTGTATCTCTTGCAATTTGGTTAGTGTTTGGTATTCCACCCTAATTCTAATTACTTTCGTACAATTTTTAGCAAGAGAAGTTCATATTTAAAGATAATACATCTATATTCGACGCGAGGGCAACTCGTAATATCTATCAGCACAGATTTTTTTTTTTTTACCACGAAACCGCACCGATGTCCGCGAACACCGATCCAAATTACCGACATCATGCGATTGCGTGCCTCCGGTCGCGTCTTGGAGGACCGTGCAATTGAAGTCATGAGTTGCACACTTTCTAACGTGCAATTTAGTAGAATGAGATGCACCCTTAATTTTCTCCACAAGTAGCAAGGGATCTTTCCTATTTTGTCATTTATGTGACTGCTTTGTTTGTCGCCGTTGTTTGACTTCTGTGAATCATTCGGTGAGTGGGACTTTGTCTGCGTTTTGTTTGAACTGTGGAACTGGGTGCTGCATGTATAAAAAGCTACCTTGGGCTACCACCACACGCACATCACGAGTGTGACAGACACCTGTTTCTACATCCCAAAGGCTCAATCAACACCCTCGCTCCTTCATAATGATTCTTTTGGCGTGCACGGTCGTTGTGGCCTGCTTGCTGTCTGGCACCACTTGCGCCCCTCTGGCCTGCGAAAATTTGATTCGTCCTCTGGTGGGCATCCCTCCCGATCACCTGGAGGGAACATGGGCCTTGGTCGCTGGCAGTTTGAACCGCTCGGTGGATGAAGACACCCTCAAGACCAGAGAGAGTGTCACTTTCGTCTCGACCAACTCCACCTACGTCCAGCGTAACCGCTTTGCAGACAAATGCCATTCGTTCACGCTCAACGCCACCAAGCAAGGCCACGTCATGACTCTGACGGGGGGCAACTATCTTTTCACCGCTACCTTCCACCATACTTCCTGCGCGACCTGTCTGTTGTTCCGCTTCGACGTTGAGGCGCCAAGCCACACCACCACCGACCTCTACATCGTGAGCACGAAGCGAGAGCTGGACGCTACAGAGAAGGAGGAGTTCGCGGCTCAGGCCAAGTGTCTGGGTTTACCGGAACCCATCTGGATGGATCCCACCAAGGAGCTTTGTCAGTCCTGATTCATTCAATAAACCTGTTGCTACACACTCTGCTTTTGTGTTACTGCAAACTTTCAAATGAGCTCTTAGAAATGCAGTCGTGGAAAGTAAAAAATATTTTGTTCATATTTCTTTGTATCCTAAAAACTCGTAGCCAGGATAGTATGTTTTTTTTGTGCTCTTCTCGTGAGTATTTAACTCAAAAAGCGGACAAAATTTACATCACCTATCGACATTGTCAATCCCCCTTCTCGATGGAAATTCTGGTGAGAGGTGAAAGCAGATAAACAGGACCGAGAACAGACGAACGTCAAAACGTGATCTATGAACAATGCGCGAGCTGAAGCGCGCATGCGCAGAAGGTCGGCCATCCTGGCTCACCTCCACAAATGACAAAGTAAACTTTCTCAACGCCTCCGCAATCAGCGGTGCCATTTCGTAAACAGATTATATATAATATGACGAGCTACCCTCTCGTCTAATATATTTTCATTACTGTAAATATGGAGCTATTAAAATTAATGCACTAAAGAAATTGGAATTAGGACGAACTACCTAACTCTATCCATACTACTAAAGCTAGAGAAACGTACTTTTTTCGATGTTAAATGCTTTTTAATCAAAAGCCAGCATAAATCAACAAAACACTTCTCAAT